GTCATTTGTCAGATATTTTCCTCTTTAGAAGGTGCATGTGTTTTTCCTCAGTCCTCATGAGACTTCTCTGCTATGACTTTGCATTCATACTGAAAAACAGAAGTGGAGAGAAATACTTAGTAATGATAATTTACAAAACTAATGAAAAAGATCTCTACGAAGGGGAATTATCTACAAAGTGAGTAAGAACATAGCTCAGTTTATGCTCAGATGAGACTGGTCTCCCTAGGTCTGTGCACACCGTGGTGACTCCAACTTCCAGCTCCCTGAGCAGCAGAAACAGCAGTGCAGACATAGGGGTTAGCCTGACTTCTCCCCAAACACAGAGCTCTTCCTTAGCTCCTGGTATGGAAAGATGGAAAGCAACCACTAAGAATGCCCCAGGAGAGCGCAGTGACAGGCTGTGCTCTGAGGAGCAGCACTGATGTTCACTGCTTGGAGCACCAAGCCCTGACTGCAGCCTTCACCTCACTCCGCATCCACCGGTCAGCTGGCTGGTGCATCTTGAACGGAATGAAATGCAGATTAAAACGTTCATTACAGGCAGTCAAATTTCCCTTCCCAACTTACCATTGCCAGTTGCCTGCCAATATTGCCCATAGTTATTCCACCAGCAAAAAATATACATGGCAGCCAGGAACGAACATAAAGGAAATCTGGAGATGTGTATCTGGAAAAGAGCATGTGTTCTTGAGCTCAAACTGGTGCAACACATAAAAACAGACTACTCCAACCACAGTAGGCAAATTCATAAATTTAAGTATGAGGATGTTTGAGTTTAAAAAAAAAGCCATTTAAATACAGAAAATAACAAAGGAGGATTCCTATTGATTATAATCACATTTATTAAACTACCAAAAGCTTGTTATGTTGTTGGTAAGGTGGCAATTTACTGAGCTAAATAGCTCCCAGCTAACCACCTCACTCTTACAAACATGTAAAAGCTTTTACCAACAGTCCAATTTATTTCACACTTGAAATTAAGTGGTGGCAGCTTTGGAAATCGCATCAGATTCTACTCTTTCAATTACTGTGTGTTTATGCAATAGTTTCAAGTGAGTATCATTTAACCTTGAAGTAAATACTTACTGATAAACTCCATTGTAGACCAGCAGTTGTGATACCAACGTAGCCAGGAAAGCAATTCCTATGCCAAGCCCAAAGCCACTCCGTGATCTATCAAATGTCCACCACAGCCCAATTGATAGGGCTGCTAATGTGAGAGACAACTGGATGTTGTTGGCAAAGTCCACTTTCTGTGTTGCTTGTTAAGGATAAGCTTGGAAATCAAATAAAGCAGTTTTCTTCACTCTGTCATTATTTTCCCATAAGATTACATGTCCCTTTCTAAAAAAACATTATGACACTAGACAATAGAGCTATCAGGTATAAGGAAATAAGACTTGTCAGCATTATGAGTGTAATGGAACACGGAAGACTTAAGAATTATTTCATGATTAGAATCTTAGCACTGTACAAAAGCAAAGGGACTACACACCTATCAAACAAAATACAAGAGTTTTAAACAAACAATGCACATTTTACTGTTCAGTGTAAGGACATGACATCCTCACCTGCTCCTTTAGTATACTGAGGCATTTCAACGAAAAGATTTATCAGAACCAACTGGTGGGAGACTTCCTTCCCTCCCTATTACTACTACCACTTAATACTAACATATATTTTGTATTTCTTTTGCAAAAATGCTACAGATCATATTTCAATAACAATACATTTAGACCAAATATGTAAACTTTGTTTTACAGAAAACCTATTTGCTATTGACAATTTCATTAGATTACAGGATACAGCACTGGCATGATTTATACCCACAAAGACTGCTACACATCGCATTACACTGGACCATTCTCTCTTAAATTTGTGTGGTTCTCCCAGATGTCTGTCCATGCACGGGTACAATAACCCAATCACAGCTGTGGAAACATGAAAGAAAAAAGCCCCAAAAGTTAAAGCACTGGCAACATTTAGCTGGAATGAAGATGACCTAGATTTTTGACAATAATTGTAACTAGCAAAACAGATGTTGTTAGCATAAATGTAACTATAGAAAACACACACTGTAACAGAACAGGATTTTCGAGCACAATTTTGTTATTAAAAAGCTCTGTAAAACTCTCTTCAATCACAGCAGCAGTGACTTGGCAAAAATACCGAAACAGAGATAATCGGAACTGAGGGTGGAGGATCTGAGAGCTCTGCACCATGACACAATTTGCAGCCTACAGTTTAGTTCAAGAGCAGTAACAGGTTGCAGCCTGGCACTTTGGAAAATCCCACATATAAAGCACGCACATTAAGGTAATCACAAAACAAAAGCACCACAAGAAGGGGGCAGTATGATTTATATTGTCAATATTTTTGTCTTCTGTTGTTGTTAAGAGCAGTTTTCATTTGGATAATGATTTTCTTTCTTCACACAAGAGGACAAGCCAAGAGTCCACAGAAGCTGCTGAATACACAAAGCAAATAGGACTTTCAACCCCAAGGAGGTATTATGCACTTTGAACATTTCTTGATAAATGGATTCTACACTGTAGATGCAGTAAAAAAGACTGCTGTGATCATAGCTGAGGAATAAACTGTTGCTTAGTTTTAAACTTGTGCTGCAGGAGCAAAGCAGAGACTGAGCAATCAGTCTGGAGTCTAATACCTTCAGCCTGGCACGCTGCTGGGAGATGGGTTACGGCAAGTGCTTTTTATTCTGCCAGACAGAAGTCTGATCTCCAGGATTTAGGAAATAAATCACCAGAAGGGAGAGGGAAAAAAATAGCAATTCTCTTGCCAAAGGCATTAGGCCAAACTGATGACTAATATTGGTGACAGATGAAAGGTCTTCTCAGAAAGCCACCTCGATCACCACTGATTACAAATATGCAAAATACCTTTATTCTGTTCCTAATAACAAACCATGCCTCATTCCATCAAAATTATCAGGCCAGCAGAGGCAGAAAGACCCTGAAGGCTCTTCTGAGATGATGACAAGCCTAACATTTATGACTTCACTATTCACAGCTGCACATGTAATGTTATCAGGTGCTCTCAAAAGAGGATAAAGCCCAACCTAACCTGACTGTGAAAACGTTTAAGTGCTGCAAGTTGGGATTCTGTTGTTTCAACCCCCACAGAAACCTTGAAAAAGAAATATCAAGTCGTACTGTTAAAAGAGTGTGTGAACAGGGTTTTAACAGAATAGCATGGGTACTTTATTTATTTTGAATTTTTCACCCTTCTTACACTGTGTGGACATAACAACAGCTATTTTCCTAGTAATGACTACAGTCAGTTACATCCACATGCTAAGAGTCAGAGCACCCAAAGTCATTCCTACACAGAATGAGGAAGGAAAGCTGTTGAGCAGCTAAGTCCTGTCACAACTATGACAAATCACACTATACATAAAAGATCAAACCTTTGCCATATTGTTTGTCCAGTCAACCAATTTTAAGTGTAAAAAAATACAGCCACTGCAGGACACAATCAATGAATAATCCACAATCTCAACAAAACAACAGAAAGAGGACTAAGATCTAGCAGATCAAGCAGATATGTAACTGTGACCATAACACGCAAATGCATTTCCACAGTACAAGACAGATTCAGAGAGCTAACTAAGGGGTTTCCTTTCAAATCAAGCTGCTCTATGATATCAGTGGTGTAATATTTCAACAAGATAGCTAAAAGAAAGTAACTAGATACTTGAAAAAAAAAGGCGTAAGTATTATAATTACCAAGACAGTGATGCCAAACTGAACCTAATTTATTGAAAATTTATTGAAAATAACCAGAAAAGTGATATTCTCAATTGTATTAAAGCCAATCTTCAGGAAGATGCTGCCTTTACTACTAAGGGTCATTAAAACAGAATCCTCCAGTATTAGCTGCTCCCTTAGTAAAATGTAAAATTGACCCATGTGATTGGTCATCTTCAGAGGCAAGCACAAAGCCGAAGAGCATTAGGCTTTTAACACAGAACATCTCTCCTGATAATAGATGAAGGAAGAGGGAAAGCATATTTCTTACCACCAACAGCAGACATCTCTTAAACTATGCTCAAAATCACACACAAAATCCTCAACTCCCTACAAGGTCATGGGAGAAAAGGAACACATTCACATCTTCCAATTTCATGCAGGAATTTAACTGAGGTGCCCAGTTCTGTAACATGCCTTCTACAACTGCAAGCTGCATATTGGGCCTTATCTCCTCGAGATACAGTCAGATAAAGCTATACCTCAAACCAAACCAAACTGTTTGGACATGTGCCTGCAAATTTGTGCTTATATGAAGAGGTAAGGAGGAGACTTAGCAAGTAAAATAGGTAGTAAAAGGCAGTGTTACTGGAAGAGAAATTTACATTTTCCTCATCTTTACATTAAATTCTTCATAACTACCTTGTGAAGCTTTCACCTCCACACCAGGCATACTTGCATGGTTGAACTTACCTGATGCTGTGCCACAGCAAGGTGGCACCCACCAAGCTGAGGAGAAGATGCTCGTGATCACATCAGGGGGGAAGAGAGTAACATTTCTCTGTATCTGAAGCAAGTTTAATACTAATGCAAGGAATACGCCAATAAAAAACAGCACTACTCCACGAATTACCAAATTCATGCCATGACTGGTTACTGATGAAATGTATGGACCACACTTTTTTGGTAAGGTTGGCATTGCATCATTTTCTGCCATGACTTCTTATGTTCTCAGAGGCATCCAGCAGGCTGACTGAGGAGGATTCACTTGTAATCAGTACTTTGAGTCTCTTCAATTACGAGATAGCCAAACCCTGAAAAACAATAAAACAAGGCTGAAAAAAAGCAAATGTAAGTAATATTAAGCATATTTCTCTTACATAAACCACTGATTGGGTTATGGGTATTTTCTTTGGAATTTTCATAAGGTACAAATAGTCCTTGAGGAACAAAAACCTCATCAGAACCAACCACAGTTGCAAAAATGCCTTTAATGAAAAATACCAACTTTGCCTACTAGAAAACAGAGGAGAAAACATGTGACACGGGATAGCTTGGAATTTGAAACCACAGAAGAGTAAATAAAACTGATATCAGAAACAAGGGCTTGCCTCACAGTAATAATATATGTAGATTTAAGGCAACGAGATGACGTAATTCAGAAGCAAGTAAACATAGCCCTTAGTTCCAAGGCAGCCACTGAGGTTCACGAATCTTTCTTCTTTAAGAGAAGCCAGAAACCATTTCTCAACTGATAAGTGAAATCTGAGAAATGCTTTTCAGGGTGGAGTCAGCACTTCAGCATTCCCAAACTGAATCATTTTTTTGCCATCGCATTATGAGCAAATAATTACACAAACCAGAGGAAAAGTCTCAATACGGATAAATGCAAAGTAACATACATTTTGTGAAAATTGTCCTAGGTTACTACGAACTATGATTTTGATCAGGTACAAAAGAATCTGAATGCAAAGGGAAAAAGGAGCTCCACCTATGCATGTACCTGAGAGCTTCCTATAGGAGCAGCTCTGCATGCACCCTGTGCACAGCAGAGATCCCACCCTAGTCACTTCAAAAAAACAGAAATCCTGTCAGTCAGAAGTCTTGTTGTACACGGCTTCAGTGTCACACTCATGTGTAACACTCGTTTTGACCGACAGCCTACCCACCTGGAACTCTGAAGAGAAAAAAATCAGACATTGTTTTTAAATCTGAAGCTGCCAACCGGTGGCAGCTTTGGTTAACTCTTACTTATGGGCACGCAGAGAAAAGAGGATGCAATGGAGCATCCCTCCCCTCCTGCTCAGGCTTCAGCAGGTCTGAGGAAGCTCTCTGAAGGCAGAGGGGCAGCGGGAAGGAAGCAGAACCCTACAGCATATGCAGAGGAAACATCAAAAATGAGGTTAAATGCATCCAGGCTGGCTAAGACACTCAGTGGCCTCTTCCTGGGTCACTCAGAAATCCCCACCACTGGAAGGGCGCCAGGAGGCGAAACAAAAGCAAAAATTGTTCTCATCATGCACAGCTTCCCGCTGGCACTTTGGGGAGGCAGCGGGGTCCTCCGAAGGGCACAGGATCTTCTCCACACGGCTGCTTCGGAGCACTGCTTGTAATTGCGAACACATCCGGAGGGCAACCGCGGTGCCTGGCTCCCCGGCCAGCTCCCTGACTCACACCGAGCACTGCGACGTCTGCGTCGGAGGCGACGCTGGGAACACAGCGCGTTTCCCTCAAGCAAAATGGAGATGTTCCAGAGTTTTTTTTCCCTTTCTCTAGAAGGCGTGGTGGTAGAGCTTGCTAATATATTAGCCTCCAGGAAAGAAAGCACAGAGTCACAACTAAATTACAGTTACAGCTGGGGATCTCCTCCATCCCTTAGCGTTTTGCCCACCAGCTGATGACACAGGTACTGAAAAGCTACAGGGAGTCTTTTAAATATACAGCATCAGAGGCTGTAGATCATCATCTATATGAACTTTAAAGCAATACTGGACTTAACAGGAGCTTTTAAACCGACTCTAGCCCCTGCACTGTTTCTGCTGGAATAACCTCACTGCTCTAAAACATCACTGACCCAATGGTCAGAAGTTAAAACTTCCAGCTCTTCCAACTCATCACATGAGCTGAGACAGTCCTCTTCCCTCTCTATCACTGTTGGAGACGGCAGTTATACTCCTTCTTAGCCTTCACTTTCCTCAGAAAACAAGCTGAGCTCTTAATCTGACTCTCCATTTCCTTCATCACCCTAACAACTCTTGGTGCTTGCTGCAGTTTGAAGGCCACTTTTTCAAGCATGTCGACATATACGACTCCAGATTCAGTTCTCATGACCTTGCACAAGGAAATTCACACTTTTGCACTCTATAAATGACCTCTTCTCTTCTGCTGCACCCGAGAATCACCCTTGCTTTTTTGACTGTCACAAAGTGGTTGCTCACATTCTGTCATCCCAGTCTTTCTTCTTTCCTCTCAGTGAACTCCTTGTTCCTCTGCTTGTCTCCAACCCTGTATGTTGAGTTTCATCCCATCTGTATTATTCCAGCACCCAATGGCATTCAATTTTTCCCTAAGATATTTCAGTTGCTTTGGCCTTCAGAAAAGTTCCCAGGTTTGGATGATCAGCAAACATCATGACTTCAATTTATTTTGTGCGTCAAGGTCATCATTTGGAATATTAAACAAGACCAATCTTTGGGAAAATCTATTAATAACTTCCCTGCAGCCATGATTTCCCCATTTTAGACCATCTCTTGATATCTCTCCAACAAGCCTCTCCTTCTAGCAATTCTTCTAATTACAATGATCTCCAGCTTAATTAAAAATTCTCGACCGTCCCACATGGCACTACATAACATGTTCTATTGCTGTAAACATAGTCCAGATTTCTGCATCTTCTTTGGCTAGAAATGATGGTTATCCAATAAAAGTACAAATGTATTCTGTCATAAACCAGTTTTAATGTATAAAAGCAGCACTTACCCAACTTTTCATTTATTTAGTGTCATTCAGCAAATATATGACACTTCATTGTGAAAAAAAAAATCAAAATACAACAGGGCTTTTCTCTCCTAGAAAACTGCTTATTCTTGTTTTAATACAACCTCTGCAGCTGCAAGTCATTCGAGACACTGTGGACACCAGCAATGGGCTTTTACTACAGCAGCCCTACGAGAACAAGGACGCCTTAGTGTGCGTTCAGCAACAAACATGTTTGTAACACGTCATGCCACGTCTTAAATTAGTAGTATCACTTCCAGCAGTGGTTTCTGTCCTGGCCTCTTGTCCTAGACATATGGCTCCTGTTTGTTTTATTGCAGTTTCTAAATTTTCTCTGCTGATTTGGCTCTGAGACCTTCTGATAGAACAAAAACTGCAGCATATGGCAAGGCAAGCACTGGCCAAAGCTAATATAAAGATTTTTAAGATTCCTTAGATAACCTGGTCTTGAGATCCTCAGGTAAGCAGAACACTCAAGTGTGGAAGGTATTTGCTATTGCCTCCTTTAAAGGAAATGGAAACTGGGATTTCTGAGGAGGACATCAGCGTCCTGCACTGGCCTGGGAGGCCGTCGTGCATGCGGATCCCTGGCAGCCTCATCTTTTAACCGCTAGGTTTTATTTGGGGGTTCTTCCTGGGCAGGGACAGCTCCTGTTTTGAGCCAACGCTATTTCCGAGCCCTCTTCTCCCGGGGTGAACAGCCACCCTGCGAGGATGCACCGAGCGCTCCAGCTGCGGAACCAGGACGACACCTCAGCTTGGCCGTCCCTGTGCTGTGACCCTCGGCTTCGCCGCCACTCCAGCGCCCCACAGAAGAGGGTTCTGACCCACCACACCATGCCTGGTCTTATGCAATAAGCAAAACAGCACCCTGGCCCTTTCCAAAACACTGAGTCACATAAACAGCCCTTGGCGGAAGGTCCATCCGCCAGCACTCCCTGTGCCGGCCAGCAGCTCTCGGTGCCTGCGATCCCTCTCGCTTCGCTCCTTACGCGGCTCAGACACGCGGCGAGGGGGTGGAGGTGTCGCGGGCAGGAAAACCAGAAATAAATAAAGCGGGGACAGAGCGGTTTATTGGAGCGCAGCAGAGGGCCCCGCGCCCAGCGCGTC